TTCCCATTTCTTTCTGGGACATTGACAACAAACTGCTTCCACTGGATTCTTTGTAATACTAAATCCCATATAATGGTTACCAACATAGTGATAAACTGCAAGCAGCACCTTCTTTGGTGGAAGTGCAAACCATATATTCACTATGGCAAATGATCAGCAAAGCAAAGATCTTTTTAAGAGTGCACTTATGATGGCAGGAAGGACCTCCAAAGAGGGAGGGAGGGAGGAAGGTTCAAAACTGTTTTTTTCTTCCTATAGTACCAAAATCTTTCTTATGCATGGCTCATCTGCTTCTGTATGGCATCTGTTGAACGGTTGAAGTCCATTCAACAGCACCAGCATATTATTTATTGGGGGGGAGGGATTTGCACACTTTTCCAGTTCTTTTAAGTAATATAGTTGAAGTGGTTAAAAAAATCCTTCATCTTGCATTAACCATTGTACTCTACAAATTATATAGTTCAGCTATTATTTCTAATTACATGTGTGTATTTTCAAGATGAAGAATCTCATAATATAAACCAAATGCATTTTAAGAGCATTTGAACAGTATTTACTAAGCAGCAGAAAAATTATCTCTACTCAAAACAACCCCAATGATATGAAAAATAAAGGTTTGCCTTAAGCAGTGTCTAAAACAGAGGCTCATTGCACTTTTAAATGGCTAATTTTCTTTCTGTGCTTGTTCAATCATTATTTTAAAAAAATATTTTAAAAAATAAATCAGTTTACTGACAGTATGTGAAATTTTAACATGCTGTCTCATCTTGCAAGGATCAAGCTTATTCTGTATGCCTACATCAAAAGCTTTGTTTTATTTACTGAATTAAATCCCGTATCAGAATTCCTGATACAGAGAGAGTTGCTGGATTCCACACCGACAGCCAATTATCCATAGTCTCAACAAATAATTGCTTGAGGTGCTGCATTTTAATGCTCAAAAAAGAATTCTTATTCCAAATGCTTTCCTATGTGCTATATAGTCAATGCTCTTGGGCTGGCAATGATTTGGCTCACCAGGTTCTCATTCGAGGCAACCTGGTGTTACCTAATTAAAAAGTCAGAAGAAAGAAATAGTTGCAGCAATACTGACCAAAAGCATTCAGGTCAAGGTGGTAGACAAGGGAGCCGTAGAAAGGCTATTAAATAAGGCCATGTGGATGACAGAGGCCAATATCAAAAGCATGGGGTTTACTGAATAAGCATGAGGGTGATGAAAGCATTGATGGCAGAAAAAGCAAAGCACTGCTTCAAAGCACACAGTCATAACTGTGGAAGCTGAGGAGAATATATTGATTACAGAAAATGCAGGAAGGGAGAAATAAAGTTAGAGGAGACGTCAGCCTTGGGAGAAATGGAATTTAAATGCTGATTGTCACAATATGAGAACTACAGCAGCTACACAATCCTGGAAAAGAGAGCGATGTTTATTTACTGTCTTCTCCCAAGGTAGTCCAAGTAAAACTTTATGTCTTTGAATTCAAAGGGTTGAACCACTCTAATGTTAACATCAAAGAAGCCTGAAATGACATACTTATTTCCAGATTCTACAAATCAGATGCTACAGGCCTCATTAAGTCTAAATTTAACTCTCATTTAAATTAAATGCTTTTTTACAGTTAGGAAATGATAGCTGACATATTGGAATCTCGACCGGAAAGAACTTCAGTAATTATTTCTTTGATGTAGCTAATGTGTAATTTTGAGAGGTTGAGCATTTGGTAGCCAGAGAGTTGAATGGTCAGAGTTTATTATCAGTGTATAACAAAACAGGTTTTTGCTTAACGTATCTTCAGGGAAAAAAAAGTGTGAATTATTTTAAAGATGTTCTATTTGAGTTGACCTACCCAGCTTCTTTGATCTATATACCATAGAAAACAACAGCCATGCCATTACTATTTGTAATACATTTCACAAATGCATATTCCTATCATAAATTTCATACATTCTCTGGCAGCTGTGAAAAAGGGAATTAACATAGGATGGAAAATTCTCAGCAAAATACTGAGCTCCTGTGGTTTAATTCCTTGCTGTGGTCAATCACTAATTGGAATTTTTAAAAAAAAAAAAAAATCCTTATGTTATCCTTTAATCAAATTCCTAGCATTCAGGAATATTCTTTCCTAAACTCTTTAAGAATGCTATTAACAGAACAATCCTGTAAGGTAGTGAAGTGGGAGAGAAAGCCCCAACAATTTAACCCAGGGCTCTTCCTCAAAATAACTTTCTCTGGTGTTTTTCTTCCCTTAAAGGCTCATCCATCCCTTCATCAAGGTCAATTCCACATTCCTTTGAAACAGATGAGGGTTCAACTTAATGGGGAAAAAGGAAGATAAAATAGACTCCAGAAAATTTTGAAGTAAACAATGAAACCTATTTAATGAGGTTTCTAAAGAAATCTCTTTCCACCCCACTATGGTTGATGACACGTATTTTAAATAAATGGATATGAAATAGAACTCCCCACTACAAAAAAAAAAAAAAAAAGACTGAAGCTACAATCCTGTATAACTGACATACCGTGTTCATATTACCATTCTTAATTCTAGAAGACATGCCATTTAAAATATAAATTTTGTACCCCTGTTTTGCAGTGCTCTAAAAAAAACAACGCTGGTACAGGCAGAGCTCTATCTTTCTTTTAAATAACAGCAGATCTGGAGGAAAAAAATGCATTAATTCAGTTCCCAATATATCATTAAAAAAGAGAAAGCATAAGGTAACAAAGAAGGGAATTCATGAAAGGTGCAATTAAGATAGTATTGCAGAGGGCAAGCAGGTTTGGCATCAAAACAGTAAAACAGAGGGCTGACAGTAAAAGACTTTACTGCTCCCAGAGCTAAGTAGATTGAAAAAAAGAATTTAGAAAGAAATTGTGCAGCTTGCTCAGAGCTAAGAGCGCTGCCAAATTCAAAGAATGCCTCAGGCATCCATCCATGAGAGAGGAAAGAGAGCTGAGCCCCAAATTATCACTTCAAAAGTTTTTCTCTGATTGGAAAAAATCAAAATGGCAAAAAAGAGACCCTCCAAATGAGACCCTGAAAAAAAGAGAGCATTTTCAATGAAGTTCTTAGAAGTAAATATAGTTCTATTTGCAGCATACAATTATATGGCACTTCTGGGCAGACACGGGTAACACACCTTTCAGCCTCAAAAAAAGAAAAGTTTGCAAATTGAAATAGAGGCAAAGGTCAATTTGGCTTTTTAGAACAAGGGTTTCTTTGCTGGCTGAGGAACTCTGGGAGTTGAAGTCCACAAGTCTTAAAGTTGCCAAGATTGGAGACCCCTGTTTAAAAAGACACCAGTTTTAAGAAAGCAACACATAGCCAGCATATGCCTTAAGAAGCAGGGCACACATCCAGTAGGACATTGTACTAAATTGCAATTTGATTTTGAAAATGGAATTTATCAACATTTTATGACACCAAGAGCAGAAGTATCTCTGTGGAAAGACGGATCACTATCTATGGTAACCTCCATTATGGGCATAGGTCGGGGAGTTTCTGTATATGATAAACCTAGGACAAAAAAAGTAGAGGGGAACCTGGAATACTATATGATCCATGGGGTCGCAAAGAGCCGGACATGACTTAGCGACTGAACAGCAACAGGGGTAAAATTAATTCAAGCAACCTAATGATAATACCTGCCAGTATATTAAGGCTACGTATATTTTGAAAGTTATTCAGAGGTGCTTTGGAACTTGGATAAATACAGGCCTCTCTGCAAAACCTGAAACCACTTGGCATAATTAAATGAATAACAGAGAATTAGCGTATTTTCAAGAAAACGTTCCTATTTTTTTTTCAAAATGTGCAGCGCAAATTATAATTTTTGTAATGTGTCAATCAGTCTATATATGAATTTCCCAGCCTAGAGTATAATCAAACAATGCTTATTTAAAGATGAAGGGGGTGGGGAGTTCAGGAGATCGTGCTGCATCATTACATTCAAGTTTGTAGAAATTCCAGCTGCTGTATATAAAGCTCTGCTTATAACACAGAAGACAGTATATTTCTTAGTTTGGGAAATTCTTTTGATGTTGTATATGCTACACATAATTACACGAAATCTTACACACACACACACACACACACACACACACACACACAGTGTCACATATACTCTGGTCTAATTTTTATTTTTTTATTTTTTTCTGAATCTTCCTTGCCTCTCAATTTCACTCTCACAATTCTTGCTTTGCAAAAGGAGCTTCTTCTAATTTTCTACTACCAATATTCCCACTTTATTAGAGCTAAAACAGAATTATGGTCATACTATATATACTTGTGGATAAGGCAAGAATTTTAGGTTCCAAAATACACCGCCAAAATTGGAATTGCTTTATCCACGGATGGGGTTTATCCACAAGTATATGTGATAATGTTTTTTAATGTAGCCATATATATTTGCAAATAAACCAATCCAGAGTTAAGCTGATCATTGAATTTTTAACAAAAGACCATGAAAAGTGAACCACCTGTGGATAATTCAGTTATGAAAAAATAAAACATGAAAATTTTGAAGGCGCTAGTTTATCTGCACATGGCAGAGTTTTCATGGTGTCAAGCAGAGGTTGGTTTCAGCAGGTTCTGACCAGTTCTGGAGAAACGGTAGTGGAAATTTTGAGTAGTTCAGAGAACAGGTAGTAAAAATTCTGACAACCCCGCCCCCATCTATTCTCTGCCTCCCAAGTTCCAGCTGTTTGGGAGGAAATGGGGATTTTGCAGTATCCTTCCCCTGCCACGCCCACCATGCCACGCCCACCAAGCCATACCCACAGAACCAGTAGTAAAAAAATTTGAAACCCACCACTGGTATCTAGGCTACAAATCTGAAAGTTGGCTTAACAGCGGAGAGGCTTATCCACAAGCATATATGGTGTTTTTGTGGTGGTAGTGGTGTTTTTTGTTGAAGAAATTCTGGGGCTGTCACTTAGGCAAAGAAAACAACCACATGTCAAGAAAGGCAGAAATTATGGTACATGCATACAATCTTACCTCATTCCTTCAGTAGACCTATTCTGATAATTACGGTAGAGCTGCGGGATACCCACCATGGCTTCAATGAAAACAGCAAGGAAACCCAGGGTTTCAACAAAGATACTGGAGTCAAGGGAAAGGTAAGTGACGCATCCTGTTACCCCAGTGAAAGCCAGAACGCACTGCACATAATCTGCAAACTTGTTCCAGTGCCAGAAAGAGTTCAAGTCAAAATCTGAAAAACAACGTTTATAAATAAATAAAAAACAAAATGGACTGCTTTGCCACTTGTGCTTCCAAAAAAAAGAGAGGAATACAAGATTATTTGGAAAGTTTAAGGAAACCGTCATTAAAAAACACAAGCTGGCAAATAAACAGAGACTGTAACTTATACAATTAGATCACTGATAAACCATAACTATAGGGAGAGAAGGTGACATGGAAAAATAAATGCAAAATGCAACTCAAATTAAAAACTGCCTTCATGAAATATTGTAGCACAAGCGATTATATCAACCACGATCAGGAATATCATTTGTGGCAAAGTCTGAAGTTGTGGAGGGAGGGAAATAGACAACATTTGTCCTCCCAACAATGATTGTATCACAAAAGCCGAGTTCTTTAAGAATCCAAAGCCATCCATTCAGAGAACAACAAAGAACAAGAAAATAGAATCAGGAGGCACAAGGATCCAATAGCTATGGTCATGCAACAAAGCACAAAACTTCCTTCAAAAGATTTTCACAGGATTCTGAGAATCTCAGGGTGGATTCAAATGAAGAACCTGCTACCTTCTTTATTGATTATTCTGTCTAGGTGAGAAAAAAAAGTATATTCTCCCTGTCTTGAGAATATTCATCGCATTTCTGAAACAGGGACTTAGGGCAAGGTACAAATCAATATCTATCAAATAAATGGGAAATCTTTGGTCCCAGGGATGGGAGGCCTCACACTTTTCTTTAGCCATTAAATGATCAGTCAAGAATGATGGGAGCTATAGCCATAGGCATTAAAGGTTTGGTATAATTTACTGCAACAAGGGTTGATTTTCTAGGTAAAGGAAAAGCAAAAACATGTTGAAAACATTGCTTTCTAGGACCTTGGAATGGTGATAGATAGATAGATAGATAGATAGATAGATAGATAGATAGATAGATAGAGTTGAATAGTGGGCGCAGACAAGACACAGGACACATATACCAGCTACATGAGTTTATTCAGCTCCGGTACAGCAATAGCAATGCAAGCCGCAGCAGCCTCTTTTAAAGGGAGCTGTCCGTAGCTTCAGCCACTGATGTGCCTCTAAATTTCCCTCTCCAGTTACTCACTTCTGATTGGTCCTTTTGAATGGTCATTCAATACTCAACAGATAGATAGATAGATAGATAGATAGATAGATAGATAGATAGACAGACAGACAGACAGACAGACAGACAGACAGACAGACAGACAGACAGACAGACAGAGATTGCTACTTCTTTCTTCTAATCACCTGGAATTAGAGCAAGTGGATGCACCTAACAATCCTTCCCCCTTCCTACAAAAACTAAGTAGAGGTGGACCTGGTTGGAAGTTGAATGGGAGACCCCAAGTAAAGCCCAGGTTTGTTTTTTAAAAAATCACAGAGAAAGCAAAGATAAATCGCTTCCATATTGTGGTCAAGGAAAAACGTGGACGTATCTATGCAGTCAGAGTTAACTTTTAGGCATTTGGGATGATGACAACCTATCTAGATAAGCCTGACTTCTTTGAGCCCCAAGATAGACAGCGATTCACCACCTTCTGATGGTGCAAATGAAGTTAAGTGGCTGAAAGGGAAAGGCAAGGTCAGGAAGTTCCCCTGCCTCCTGCCTTTGTCTTAACCAGAACAAACAGGGAAAAAGGAAAGAATCGGAGGCAGAATCAGCTTTACTGGAAGGCAGCAAAATTGAGTAAGACTTTTCTCTTTTTTTTAACACAATCCTGACATTCTCTTGCTTGCATCTGCTGCAGCAGTAAAAAGCATTCTTCACCATTGCAAGCCATCTTATTTGCCAACAGATAGGAAAGCTTTATTTTATTGCCAATCCCATCTCCCATCAAAATAACTAGGACATAAAACAATTCTCTGAGAACATTAAAAATAGAAGTCATTTATTATCCCTTCTCTATAAGCACTGCCTACCCAAGATTAATTATATTTCAGGTATAATGAAAGCCTCACCCCATAATAGACTGGTCCACAACAGTTAGCCGAGAGCAATAAGCCAAACCCCAGTGTGTTTGCAAGATAAAACCGAGCCTGATAGATCTGGGGGAAGATCAGCTCAATTCTGTCAATAATGTATGAGAGCAGTGCTCAACTCGCACAAGATAGCCTTGTACTTGGGCTTCCCAAAAATGAAATTATTCTAATGAAAAGAAAGACCAAGCATTACATATTTTTAAAGAGAACAAGAGACATTGAAATCCTATCCCCCAAACAGTACATTTAATCAATGATTAACATTGCTCTTTGTCTCTTTATTCAGAGAGAAGAGAGGATGAATCCAGTCTCCAGAGATAAATGGCAGGAGGATGCTTTATATAGAGAGAATCGTTTTTCAATTTATAGAATCGTTTTTCAATTTATTACACCTAAACAATGTAGTATGTTATCAAAGCTTTATGCTTAGGGATGCTTTCATTAAAAGGATTTGCTTATTCAAATAAGACTCCCTTAGAAAATAAAGGAAAATTTAATTTAAATATGTATTATCTCCATGGTATGAAGTTCAGAATAAGGGAACAATCTTCTCCAATTAGTAATCTAGTTCATTCAACTGGGAATAACAATCAGTTTCTTCAGATAACTGCAGAAATTCTATCTTATCTTATCTATCTATCTATCTATCTATCTATCTATCTAATCTATTTATCATCATCTACATTCTATCTAGAAAATCCATCTACCAATCTTAAATGTACCAGAAAATAAGTCTCTCAATCTCTCTCTCACACACACATTCTCTCTCTCTCTCTCTCTCTCTCTCACACACACACACACACTCTCTCTCTCTCTCACACACACACACACCATAACAAAGTTGATATTTCAAGATAGGATTAAGAATGACTTCTTCTGAGATTTTTAAATGGCAATGCAAAAGTAAAGGTCAATTACTTTATCAGGGTCCAACTTTTCCATCTACATCTAAGCCATAAAATGTGATTAAATTAAGCTAGATAAGGTTAGATTAGGATAAAACTGAAGTTTCGTCTTGTCTACCCCACTGAAGATTTAGAGCTTTAAAAGATTAGTAGAAAAATCAAGGACATCTAACACAAGTACGGGATCTCATTTTTTTAGATTATCCCCCTCCCCCCCCAAATTCTTGAGGAATGTTTAAATTCTCACAGCTCAGAATTAATACATTATTCACATATAAATAAGATAGCTGCAGGGGTCTTTATTTTTTGTTTGGAACATTACAGGGTGAAGAAAGCCATAAAACAGACTCTTATCCTTTTTTTTTTCTTTTGTCTTTTTTTTTGTCTTTTAAGAGACATAGGATCACTCAATTGGGAATGGATAATATCCATCTGAAGGATTATCAAATGTGATTTCTTTCTGAAAAAAAATATTATCTCCCACATTCCATTAGCAAGTGGGACTGCCATTTGAAAATGAAATCTGAAGGAGTAAACATCTGAAGAAAGAAATGAAGTTGGAAATTATGCTATCTTTCCTAACAATAAATTGAAATTGTTTTTGTCAGGTAAGAAATTTTCAGTGACCATTTCCCTCTTGGAAAACTAAAGCCTGGCATGATGTTGTACGTTAAACAAAACTTTAAGCTTTTTCATAAATTAGCTTCTTACGTCAAATACTGATATGAGATTTTAAGGTAGAAATTAGGAAAAGATATAAAGTTACCTAAAAGCTTAACTGTGAACAATCTGCACTATTTATCTGCCGCCACTAACGATCCAAGTCTTGCTCTGGTTTTCATCTTTTTCAGCTCTTATATAAAAAGAAGAATTTAAGGTTAAGCTAGGTACACCCGTGGAATGATCAATTGGTTGAGTAAAGAAAACTGATTATGTATGTGTTCCCATTTCTACAGCAGAAAAGGTAATTTCATCAGCCTTTAGTTAACTGTCCAAATAGCGGTGTTCAGTCCTGTGTGTGGAGGGAATTCATTATCAAATTGAAGAAGGGATCAAAACATAATTAAATGTAGTAGTGCGACAGCAAAGACCTATTCAATTTTTTCTGACAGATTTACATGATTAACATTTTATTTCTATATAGCTCATCCTCATGGAGGGACATGTTTCTGTTAGCAAAGGAATAAAGGAATAAAATTGTAGCTAAGGAATAAAATTGTAGCTAGAAATACCAATAAAATCAACGCTCTTTAAAAGCAATCGTAAAAAGATTTCATTAAAAACAATATAAATCTGAAGATCTAATTTTGGAGTATTTGTTATCCTATTAATGCTGGGATTAACTGGCATGTTTTCCACTGCTTTCTAAAAAAAGATGGGGGGCAGCTGGGAATGGAGAAGATTGGGGTGGGGGGTTCTTCAGAATCAATTCCATAATAAGTGTGATACTATTGAGAAGTTCCAACAACCACTCTGTGAGTTAAACCAGGGGTCTCCAAATGTGGCAATTGTTAAGACTTGTGGACTTCAACTCCCAGAATTCCTTAGCCAGTGGAAGATTTTACAAACTTAAGATAAATGGAGTATGATGTTTAGTTGGCATCTGCAGGCATCAGCTTGCCTCATCTAAGAGCCACAGTGGTCTACATAATTCTCAGCTTTATTTAATCCTCATAATAACCATTTGAGGATAATTATTGATCCAATCTCAGTTAGAAAACCTCATGATTGAGTGTGAGTTTAAATCACCAGCCCTAGGCCAGGTGATAAAAGGTAATTATCTTAACATTACAGTGTGGTTCAATATGAAAACAGAAAAATAAATGTTCACAGTTTAACTTGGGGAAAAAAAAAGACCTCTCCATGCAGAATCCTTCCCATTTTATCAGATAATTAAAAAAAAAAAAACTAGCTCCTGTAGCTTATTCTGTGAATTATGTTCTGCCTTGTGTGAGCATATTGATGTCAACAAGTTCAGCACTCTTCACAGCAGGACTGCTTGTCCTGTTTCTATAAAAGCTGGAGAATTAAGAAAAAGAAAAAAGCCGATGCCACCAAATAATTTTTAATCTGATGACAGTGCTAGGGGTCAGGTACCATCCATTA